GTGTGTGTGTGTGTGTGTGTGTGTGGCCAGCTCAGCTCACCTGGGGGCAGGGGCGGGTTGGCATGTGATGCTGGGGGATTGAACGGCAGTCCATGTGCTTTGCTGAGCTTGTTCTAAGTAGGTGCTTTAGACCACTGAGCCATCTCACCAGCCCTCCCCTTATTTTTTATATATGCATTTATTAGTCTTTTAGAGACAGGGTCTCCTGTGTAGATCAAGCTGGCTTCAAAGACTTGGGACTCCTGCCTCAGCCTCCCAAGTGTTTGGACTACAGATGGCACCATACCCACTAAAAGTTAATCTAACTAGAGCCAAACTAGGCTCACATAGCCTTTATCTCCATGTTTGCCATCTGTTTTTTTTTTTTTTTTTTTTTTTTTTTTTGCCATGTGTTTTAAAAACATTTATAATAAAAGTGTACTTTCAACGTATCTTTAACTTTTGGTACTACAGAAGGCATAAGCTTAAAAATAGTTTAAAAGCAGGGTGAGGAGGGGCCAGGGAGATAGCTCAGTAGACTAAGTGTTTGCCTGGCAAGCACAGGGTCCTGAGTTCAATCCCCAATAAAAAGTGAAAATATAAGCTGACAGCAATGGAAACCCTTTATTTTCAATATTACCATTAGGATTTTTTTTTTTTTTTTTGTTTCTAAGTGTATGTATTTGGTGCAGGGTCTCACTATGCAGCCCAGACCTGTAGTGGTCCTCCTATTTTCAGCCTCCCCAACACTGGGATTACGGGGGTGCACCACCAAGCCAGGACTTGTTTTGTTTTCTGAGACAGGGTCTTGCACAGTGGCATAACTGGGCAAAGGGGGCAGTCAGCTCTGGGCATGGCACATTTTTCTCTAGGTGGGATTTAAAATTTCTAATTAACTAGGTTAACATATTTAGATATGTTGAAACAGAAGGCCTGCCCCAAGTGGCACAAACTCTGGCTATAACACTGAACTTGTCATGTATTCCAGGCTGACCTTGAACCCACTATGTAGCCCAAGCAGGCCTCCAACTTGCAGAGATTTTCTACCTCAGCCTCCTGGGTGCTGAGGTTACAAGTGTACACCATGCAGGACTTCACTTTTAGTAGTAACAGGGTTTTGTTAACAAATTAATACATTAGTGCCCATTAAAATAAATGATCACAAATTAAAGCTCAATCTGGGTAACTTAGTGATTTAGCAATATACTATTAAAAAAAAAGTTGAGGCTGTAGCTCAGTATGAAAACCCCGGTGTTCAAACTCCAGTACTGAAAAAAGAATTGTTCTATTGTAACAATCTTCAAATTTCTTGAGTGCTATTTTAAGATAAAGCTCTTAGGAATTTCTTTTTTTATTATTTTTTTAAATTTATGTGTGTGGGGGGGCAGCTCAGCCCACCAGGGGGCGGGGCTGGCTGGCATGTGGTGCTGGGGCATTGAACCGAGATCCCTGTGCTTTAGCTAAGCTTGTTCAAAGTAGGTGCTTTAGATCACTGAGCCATCTCACCAGCCCTGGAATTTCTTATAATGGTACACAACAGAACAAGCACTATGCCTGTCCAGAGTATGATGTCTTGTGGTGATATGGTTTTGAATTCTCAGAACAGAAAGTAGAGAGCAGGCATCGGTTTCCTTGTCTGTCTCCTGCCTACTTCCTTTGTATGTTCATGTCTGGGCTACAACAGTGTCATTATCACTAGCCCCAGTAAATACCAGGACATCTGCACGCCCCTGCAAGACTCCTTTACAGCGGCCCGCGCCCGGGACCTTCCACTGCTTTCCCTCGATTTCCCAGAACGTGTGGGCTGGAGGTTTAGAGTTCTGCCTCCCGTCCCTCCTTCTCCTTAGGCACGCCTGGAGGACAAGGCGCCCCACGCCACTCGCCTTGAAGGTCTGGCGGGAGCAGTCGGATGGCACGTGACGGCGCGACCTCTGCCCGGCTGCCCTGGAGGCGAAGGCCCCGACCGCGGGCCGAGCAGGAAGCGCGCGGGGCCGTGCCTGCTCCGCCTGGGAGCCGCTGCCAGCCTCCGGGTCAGCGCGCCGAGCCCGGGGCTCTCCGACTCTCGTTTCCAGGCCCGGCCCAGGCGCGAGCCCCGAGTTGCCAACCCGGGTCCAGACGCAGACCGCTGGACAGGCGCCTTCCCTGACAGCTGTCGGACAGAGACCGCGAGAAGGCTCGAGGGGAGTCCTGTCCTTCCCAGCCTTCCGAACCCGGCCCCCGAGTGTCTGTTCTTTCTGCCGCCCAGGAACGTGCGGCAGTGCCACTCCGAGGAATTCCATATGGCGTCTAACACGCGCTGTTTTTTCCCCGAGACTGAAGGACACGCACAAGCCCAGCCCCGCCTCACAGGCCCCGCCCCGCCCCGCCCCGCCCTCCGTCTGGTTTTGTTTTCGTTTCGTCCCTTCCTGTCCCTTCTCTGCCAGGTCGCCGGCGGTCTCCGGTCCGGACGCGCTCTCGCCGCTGCCTTCCCGCCCTCCTCAGGCCCCCTGGGCCCAGAGCCCGGACTGCATTTCCCGGCAGTCGCCGCGGCCTGCGCCCAATGAGGGGCTGAAGATTTGGCGGCGGCGCCCCGAGAGCCGGGCGGGGGGGCTTTGTGCGCGGCGGCGGCGGCGGCGGCGGCGGCGG